GGAGTTGTATCACAGGATACATTGATACATGACACACAGGAGATCGCCTGATGTATCCGTGGTGGGTGACGCACTGGTCCTCACCCCTATTACTGCAGCCTCGCCTCATCTCTCACCAATCACAGAGCTCAGTCATTTATTGCTCCGATCCCTCGGGGGTTCTCATTGGCTGGGTTAAATGTATTGATGACGTGTTGTCAGCGGGCGACATCAGGGGGGCGCGGGGAGGAAGTGGCGGGAAGCGCTTAATCTTTAATTAATAACAGCAATACAACAGATGAATATGATGAGGAATTTATGATCTAAATTGAATTAATCATTATAATTTAAATTGCAGAAAAAATCTTTAAAACGATTATGTGCGAACAGAGGGAAGGGAAGGGAACTATCAGGGGAAAACGCCAAGCCATTACGACTATATAGCACTGGGATGGGGTCAGGATAAGGATTTGGGATGGGACGGGGGGGGGGGGGGAATGGTGCCCAACCACTTGGGGGGGGGATGAAGGGCATGTTTTTCAGTGATAAGTCAATGACAATTGTCTCATTAGTCATAAGTAAGTCCACTACGGGCTCACTATAGCCCGTGCTACTTGGAACGTTTTGTTCCAAGTAGCGAATCTTAAACAACAACAACAACAACAACAACAACAACGGTCATTAGTGAGGTTGGCAGCCAAGAGGTATCCCGTCACAGGACACGAGTCTGAAGGTGCTGGTCTTCGCGTTAATCTGTCCCGTTGTTGGACGCCAGAATTTGGGTGTTTTGGTCTGATTGGCCAGAATATTCGCTGCAAGATTGATGTCTCAAGTTTGTAACTCAAGTTTAGAGAGATGCAATAATGGGCGGACGGAGTTATGAGACGTATATGGACGCTGAGGTTCAAACGCTTGTAATCATTCTACAAACATTTCTTTTCATAAAACATTGAGGAAATGTTCGTTATTGCAGCCGACAAAACCGAACTTTTCTCGAACAGTGCATCATTCACTTCCTATGTTCGAACCGCACTTCTCTCTAAATGCTTCACCTCATATTGTAACTACAGACAGCTTTCTGATACAGCCATAGGCTCTAACATAACCTATCCTAGGCCTACCTATTCATAATAAAATACATAAATATTTCAAGATGTTATGGCTTTTGTTTATACAGTATATCAAAAGTGGCAAAAGTTCATCCTGTCACTTGTACCCAGACGCAGCTGGGACTTGCTTAACTGTCTCAAGTGAACAGCTCATCAAACAAGTAAATTAACATTAGTCAACCTTTAAAATATACTTTATCTTGAGGGGGGGGCAAAATTGGGGAATCTTTTAATAGTATATTTGATAAAAGTATTTTCCTAACTCAGACACTGTGGGGTTTATTATGCTACACATATTTCTAATGACTCTAGATGTTCACACACTCTCAGGATGTCAAGGCGGTGTCCCTCACTCTCACCACAGATTTTGCAAAAGGTCACTGGGAGGTGCCATAACTACGCCCCTGTTTGCAGGGCAAGCCTGGGGGCTCACAGGGCCAGCCTGGGGCTCACAGAGGCAGCCTGGGGCTCACATGACCAGTCTGGAACTCACAGGACCAGCCTGGGGGCTCACAGGGCCAATCTGGAGCTCACAGAGGCGGCCTGGGGCTCACAGAGGCAGCCTGGGGCTCACAGAGGCAGCCTGGGGCTCACAGAGGCAGCCTGGGGCTCACAGAGGCAGCCTGGGGCTCACAGAGGCAGCCTGGGGCTCACAGAGGCAGCCTGGGGCTCACAGGAACAACCTGGGGCTCACAGGACCAGCCTGGGGCTCACAGGGGCCAGCCTGCGGCTCACAGGACCAGCCTGCGGCTCACAGGACCAGCCTGCGGCTCACAGGACCAGCCTGCTGCTCACAGGACCAACCTGGGGCTCACAGGACCAGCCTGCGGCTCACAGGGGCCAGCCTGCGGCTCACAGGACCAACCTGGGGCTCACAGGACCAGCCTGCGGCTCACAGGACCAGCCTGCGGCTCACAGGACCAGCCTGCGGCTCACAGGACCAACCTGGGCCAACTGTATCAGCTCTTGTTAGCTCTAATTGGACCCGCGCCTTTCTAACCATCGGTTGTCTAATGTACTGACTCACCGACTAATTTTCCTCCACCGTATCTTCTACATATATTTGTCTCTAAGACACACACGTGTGTGTGTGTGTGTGCGTGTGTGTGTTGGGAAGGGGGGGGGGGGTGTAGACGGGGGGGAGGGGCACGTGATCTGAGGCAGTGGACACTAAGCTCGAGGATTGAGACGGACATCGCGGTGTCTCAGGCCTCCCATTGTGGCCGATTTACCGCAGCGTTTAGCGAGCTTAAGACGAGACGTGAGTACTTGTCCACACGCCGGAGTTTGAGGAGGGGGGGGGGGGGTGAGGGGAGAGAGGGGAGAGAGGGGCTGAGGGGGAGAGACTCTAACATCGCCCGGCTTTGTGTTCACCTCTTTTAAGGTCCCCTCGGCTTCTGTTTGTGCTGGGATTTGTTCCCCCTGCGCCGGGTCGCCGCTGCTCTGCTGCTTTGTGGCTGACTGCCCCCCCTCAACTATGTCATGCACGCACGTGCGTGGGTGCGTGTGTGTGTGTGTTCACCTAGTTGTGCTTGCGGGGGTTGAGCTCTGCTCTTTCAGCCCGCCTCTCAACTGTCAATCAACTGGTGTACAGGTGCCACTGACCAGGTCTCACAAGGACAAGAGAGAAGAAGACAGCCACCTTCCCTCCCTCTTCGCCCCCCTTCCCTTCCCTTCCCTTCCCTCCTCCTTGTCCCCAATAACCCAGCCTCCCTCCTTAGCTGCCTTCCACTTAGGCTTTCTCCTCTTTCCTCCTCGGGGGACGTCCTCCCGTTTCTCTTCCCCTATTTTCCTCCCTCCTTACATTCTCTGGTTCCTCTTCGTCTTCTCGGAACAATTATCTTGCCAGCTCCCCTCCTTGGCTCCCCTTGTCCTTCTCTCCCCTCGCTCGTCCGCCTCTCCCCTTCCTCGGTAGTTTTTCCTATATCCATCTCAGCAAAATTAGAAAATTGAATTCCGAAGAAAAACACAGATTAGGCTGCAATATCTCCCTCTATTTCTGCTCCGTTAGAGAGAGAGAGAGAGAGAGAGAGAGAGAGAGAGAGAGAGAGAGAGAGACAGACAGACAGACAGACAGACAGACAGACAGACAGACAGACAGACAGACAGACAGACAGACAGACAGGGAGAGTCAGCGCAGGCCCTGTAACATCAACTGCTCAAGACTGATGAGCGGTGCGATCCTGTGCAGCTGATAACTTCAGTTACACAGGACCAGCAACATAAGCTGCTCAGGACCAGTAACGTCAGCTGCTCAGGACCAGCAACATCAGCTGCTCAGGACCAGCAACATCAGCTGCTCAGGACCAGTAACGTCAGCTGCTCAGGACCAGTAACATGATACAATATATTCGGAAAGTTTAATTTTCCACCGCCAAAATTGCTCCTTCTCAAAACTCCACTTTATTCCTTCGACAAATAAATTAATGTTATTTCTTCCCTCGAAACAAATAGAAGGACGCGATGTTAACTACAATTTAGCAGAAAACAAATTCTTGAACAACTACAATTTTTGTTGTATTGTGAGTTTATTTTTAAAGTTTGCAAGGAAAACGCAGGTGTTGTGGTGTTTGTTAGTGGTGTTGTGGTTGTTGTTAGTGGTGTTGTGGTGGTTGTTAGTGGAGGTGTTGTGGTGGTTGTTAGTGGAGGTGTTGTGGTGGTTGTTAGTGGTGTTGTGGTGGTTGTTAGTGGCGTTGTGGTGGTTGTTAGTGGAGGTGTTGTGGTGGTTGTTAGTGGAGGTGTTGTGGTGGTTGTTAGTGGAGGTGTTGTGGTGGTTGTTAGTGGAGGTGTTGTGGTGGTTGTTAGTGGTGTTGTGGTGGTTGTTAGTGGAGGTGTTGTGGTGGTTGTTAGTGGTGTTGTGGTGGTTGTTAGTGGTGGTGTTGTGGTTGTTAGTGGCGTTGTGGTTGTTGTTAGTGGAGGTGTTGTGGTGGTTGTTTGTGGTGTTGTGGTGGTTGTTAGTGGATGTGTTGTGGTGGTAGTGGAGGTGTTGTGGTGGTTGTTAGTGGAGGTGTTGTGGTGGTTGTTAGTGGAGGTGTTGTGGTGGTTGTTAGTGGTGTTGTGGTGGTTGTTAGTGGCGTTGTGGTGGTTGTTAGTGGAGGTGTTGTGGTGGTTGTTAGTGGAGGTGTTGTGGTGGTTGTTAGTGGTGTTGTGGTGGTTGTTAGTGGTGGTGTTGTGGTTGTTAGTGGCGTTGTGGTTGTTGTTAGTGGAGGTGTTGTGGTGGTTGTTTGTGGTGTTGTGGTGGTTGTTAGTGGATGTGTTGTGGTGGTAGTGGAGGTGTTGTGGTGGTTGTTTGTGGTGTTGTGGTGGTTGTTAGTGGAGGTGTTGTGGTGGTTGTTAGTGGTGTTGTGGTGGTTGTTAGTGGTGGTGTTGTGGTTGTTAGTGGCGTTGTGGTTGTTGTTAGTGGAGGTGTTGTGGTGGTTGTTAGTGGCGTTGTGGTTGTTGTTAGTGGAGGTGTTGTGGTGGTAGTGGAGGTGTTGTGGTGGTTGTTTGTGGTGTTGTGGTGGTTGTTAGTGGATGTGTTGTGGTGGTTGTTAGTGGTGTTGTGGTGGTTGTTAGTGGAGTTGTGGTTGTTGTTAGTAGAGGTGTTGTGGTGGTTGTTAGTGGTGTTGTGGTGGTTGTTAGTGGAGTTGTGGTTGTTGTTAGTAGAGGTGTTGTGGTGGTTGTTAGTGGTGTTGTGGTTGTTAGTGGTGTTGTGGTTGTTGTTAGTAGAGGTGTTGTGGTGGTTGTTTGTGGTGTTGTGGTTGTTAGTAGAGGTGTTGTGGTTGTTGTTAGTGGAGGTGTTGTGATGGTTGTTAGTGGAGGTGTTGTGGTCTCACTTGGATGTCTTCACAATCCTCAGTGCAGAGACGTCCTATGAATCCGGCCGTTCTTGTCAAGTTCAGGAATGTAGCTTCCGGATTCTTGTGGGCCTAGGTGACCATGACGAGTCGCAGAGAAAACACTGCGTGACACACCAGACCGCAGACGACACAGACAGTTCTGGGCCCCTGACGTCAGCAGACCAGTACCGAGCAGAAACTACAGCAGACACCTTCAGAACACAGCTGTAACTGCGCCGAATCGCGCTGGTTTCAATCTTGATTGATTGAAATTGAATTATTGAATCTTGATCTCTTGATTCAATCTTGATTTCCGTTTTATACACCGCCAATTAAGCTACCACCCCCTAGAAAGGATCTACATGCTAATTGGCTGATTACTTATGTATCTGATATTTCCGTCAATCAGATGAAGCTATACGTGTCCCAATATACCTGATTGGTCCGGAAGCGTCGTTTGAGAGTCCTCAATTTTTCTTACCCAAAGACTAACAAGTAAATGCAGTTTTAAGAGGTCATGATGGCATGTGATGCTGGTCGACCTGTGGACGGGCTAAGAGGAGCAGAGGTACGGGACTGGTCGAGGGGGGAGGGGTAAGGGGGGGGGTGGAACTGAATGTAAGGGCCATTTCCCTCTGGTTTGATCCTGGTTGATATCTGGTTGGTTGATACCTGGTTGATGGGGTTCTGGGAGTTCTTCTACTCCCCAAGCCCGGCCCGAGGCCAGGCTTGACTTGTGAGAGTTTGGTCCGCCAGGCTGATGCTTGGAGCGGCCCGCAGGCCCATATATCCACCACAGCCCGGTTGGTCCGGCACTCCTTGGAGAAAATGATCTAATTTTATCTTGAAGATGTCCACGGTTGTTCCGGCAATATTTCTTATAGTCGCTGGGAGGATGTTGAACAACCGTGGACCTCTGATGTTTATACAGTGTTCTCTAATTGTGCCTATGGCACCCCTGCTCTTCACTGGTTCTATTCTGCATTTTCTTCCATATCGTTCACTCCAGTACGTTGTTATTTTACTGTGTAGATTTGGTACTTGGCCCTCCAGTATTTTCCACGTGTATATTATTTAGTATCTTTCTCGTCTCTATTCTAGTGAGTACATTTGGAGAGCTTTGAGACGATCCACTCACTCCCTCCCACTCACGGGCTCGCTGGCTCGCTGGCTCGCTGGCTCGCTGGCTCGCTCGCTCACTCGCTCACTCACTCACTCACTCGCTCACTCAGTCACTCACTCACTCACTCACTCACTCACTCACTCACTCACTCACACCCACCCACCCACACTGCGTAAAGAAATCTGGGACACAGTTCGGCTTTTTTTTGAATAATGGAGCCAGATCTCTCAATGGCATGGTTTCTCCCAACGACCGGGCTGGATATCAACCAGCTACTCCCCAGACCAGGGGTCATTCATGGGCGGTGTCTAATGTCGAGGGTCTAGGTGGAGCCGGTCGGCTCCACCTACCCTTGGCCTCTTACCAAGCATCTGTCAGCAAACGCCGGTTTCTACAACATTTGCCAGTGTACCTGTGAGACGTGACCTCCCCTAGGAAGTCATTTCCTGCAGCCAGCGGGCGTACCCAGCTGCTCTCATCAGCCCATGCCGCCCACGGGGGGCTTGATGGCCAGACCACCGAGGTCTCAGCTCACCTGTCCACTAGAGACCGCTGGGAGAGCCTTGGAACAGCCAGGTGGCTACAAAACAGTCGGTCGCTAAACCCGTCCATTTTGGAATGGCCAGCATGGCTTAGCTTCCCCCTGTCCTCTCTGTCCTGGGCAGCCTGGGTATGAAGACCTTCGCTCCCCCCCCTCCTCCCTCCACCCTTCCTCTCCCCCCGTCCCTTCCCCTTATCCTTCCCCTTCACCTGTAGGATGCCCTGTCAACTCCCTACCCCTACCTCCCCATCCTCCCCCAACCCCCTACCTCCTCCCTAAGCATAGGGAGGAGGAGGAGGGTGGGGAAGCATAGGGAGGAGGAGGAGGGTGGGGAAGCATAGGGAGGAGGAGGAGGGTGGGGAAGCATAGGGAGGAGGAGGAGGGGGGGAAGGATGGGGAGGAGGAGGAGGGGGGGGAAGCATAGGGAGGAGGAGGAGGGGGGGAAGGATGGGGAGGAGGAGGAGGGGGGGAAGCATAGGGAGGAGGAGGAGGGTGGGGAAGCATAGGGAGGAGGAGGAGGGTGGGGGAGGATGGGGAGGAGTAGGAGAGGGTGGGGAGGCTTCTCATAGATTTCAACACACACACATTATACCAGTCCATCCTCGAGATTTTTAGAGGAACTTCAACATGAACCAATTTCTCTCCAGTACCTCCACAAAGACACTCATATAGGTAGAAACCTACGGTAGGGTGTAGTTCTTGGACCCCGCCTCGAGAGGGCTCTGAATGTACAGCCTTCCTGACCTGAGGAGACGCTGCTTTTTTTTTTTGTGGCAGTAACACCGTTGTAAATACATAAGAAGCAGCTTTCTTAATCATGTCATATCATTTCACCACACTTAATAAGTAAATAATTAGACAAGTCAAGCGAATCATCCACCATAAGTGTTTGTTAGTAATAATATTATCTCTACTGTCTTAGCTATTTCACCCTTACTAAGTATATTCTCATATAGCCAAACACATGACCAAACTACGACGCTAATACAATATTCTAACAACTTGTAACACCTTCTAACAAGTTGTAACAAGTATCAAGCAAGTTGTAACAACTTGATACCACGTAATAAAAACTTATGTAACAAGATGTAACAGCTTTGTAACAAGTTGTAATAAGGTAACACTAGGGCCCGTTACGTTGTGTGTGTTGCAGAGATCATCAACACAGATGCACAGAAAATGCAAATGTTTTAAAACACATATTTTTTTAATAAGTGTAAAAGTTAGGAAAACAATTAAGCACCACAGAATAAATTGTTATATATATATATATATATATATATATATATATATATATATATATATATATATATATATATATATATATATATATATATATATATATATATATATATATATACATACCTGCAGACTATATACCATGGGTGTCTCCTGGTGGTTCTTGAGATGAGTGTCACCGCGGCATCTTTTTTCCCAGGCCTCTTGGTCTCTTTGGGAATTATTCCATACGTGCAGATCCGTCTTAACGGACCGGACGTTAAGACGCCCGGTTTGTCTTAATAGTCTCCAGGTGTGGTGTGTGAGGCACTTCACCCTCGCTCCAGGGAGTGTGAGGCACCTCACCCTCGCTCCAGGGAGAGTGAGGCACCTCACCCTCGCTCCAGGGAGTGTGAGGCACCTCACCCTCGCTCCAGGGAGTGTGAGGCACTTCACCCTCGCTCCAGGGAGTGTGAGGCACTTCACCCTCGCTCCAGGGAGAGTGAGGCACCTCACCCTCGCTCCAGGGAGTGTGAGGCACCTCACCCTCGCTCCAGGGAGAGTGAGGCACTTCACCCTCGCTCCAGGGAGAGTGAGGCACCTCACCCTCGCTCCAGGCAGTGTGAGACATTCTCAGTGATGTCGGCCGGTAATTCGGGCCTCGCGCACTTGCGGCCAGCAGGTTCTTGTTGACACTATGTAAGGTCTTCTGACATGATTGCTCGTGCTAAGGCGGCGGATTTTGTTTTGTTTTTGTACGTCAGAGAAGATCAGATCCGAACCCTGTTTCTCTGCGACGCACGCATCACCGTCTGGACTATGATGGGCCATCCCAGTCAGAGGTGCTCAGCTGTTTCCTCCTCAGTATATTTATATATGTGTGTGTGTGTAAATCACGAAAATTAACACGTGGTGAAAAAATGTGACAGTGTCAGACCACGGAGGAAAAATTGAAACAGGAATTTCCTTAAGTACTTTCGTATATTAATACATCTTTACATCTTCAGAAGGAATTTCTTCTGAAGATGTATTAATATACGAAAGTACTTAAGGAAATTCCTGTTTAAATATATATATATATATATATATATATATATATATATATATATATATATATATATATATATATATATATATATATATATATATATATATATATAATCACGTTCATGTGATGTCTTTGTTCTTTTACATGTTGTTCTCGTTTAAATTACACAGCGTAGGAGGTAGAGAAAGGGTGTTCAGTAAATATATTGTTTACTATCTCCCTCTGGACTACTTTGTAGTCCAGAGGTGCGCGATGGTTTGTTAGGATGATGTTGTTTGTGTCACCTGTGTGGCTTCTCCTCTCACAAAAATAAACAAAGTCTATAGCGTCATCTACAAAAGAATAATCCGCTGCCACAGTTTGTCTCTTCGTCTATGTCGGATTATAATTATAATTTCTCCACCTGTTTTTGGGGCCTGTTTGTTAAGTATAGAGTAAGTAAAAGTGTAAAGTATCAAGGTGTTGCAACTCCTTCCAAGTGCTATGTAGTGGTAATGGCTTGGCGCTTTCTCTTGATAGTTCCCTTCCCTTCCTCTTCCAGCATCCTCCTGCTCCTGATCCTCCATCTCTTCCAGCCTCCGCCTCCTCCACTTCCAACTTCTCTCTCTCCTCGCCTCCTCCTCCTCCTTTTCCAGCCCGCACTCTCTCTCTGTGGGAGAGCGTCCCCGGCTCTGCCTCCCCCTCTGGCAGGGTCTCATATCAAAGGAAGCCCCACGTTTTCATCTGGTAGGTTGAGCGGGTCCCTTCATCTGGGTATTGGTCGGCGGGAGACGGGATCACTTATCGGTCTCCGGCCGCCCTGATTGGTCCGCCCCGCGTGTAAACATTCCCACACACACAGATTCCTCCCTTTTCTTGCAAAACCTTCTATTATGAGTAATATTTGTAGTGTGGGGGAATTATTATTCGAATGGATATGTGACGATGCTCCTGACTTGGGTTTCTTGACAGCCTTTCCGGGCGAGTTTGAGACGATTTTAACGCCCCCCTTTTGTTCTCTCTCTCTTCTTAAACGATTTTTGTCGTGTCGGAGCGGAGAGCTTGACGTCGGAGCGACCGCCGCTCCCTCCCTCACCGGCAACATGTGCACTGTGTGTCCTGACGGCACAGTCTATGCCGCCTCTTGCCGCTGCTTGTAAATGGTTTAGTTTGCATTGGGATTCGTGCAAATGGGTAGCTGACCGGCATTTTGATGTACGGCATTGTGTAACTAGCAGCAGACGCGAGAGGAGGTAGCAGGAGGAGAAAGAGGAGGAGGAGAAGAAGCAGGAGCAGCAGGAGAAGTAATAATTTGGAGGAAG